ATCTTTGGATGACGGTTCACATGACACCCCGTGCGTTCCGCGATCGTGTGTCAAACGCACACACACACACACACACACGCACACGCAAATATCCACACATGCACGCACACGCGCACCTGACAGTCGATCCAAACCGGAGGTGTACGGGCGCTGAAGAGGTAAGTTGTGTTGAGTGCGTTTCGCGTGGAGTAGCGGATATCGTTGAGCTCATAACCACCAAACAGCACCATGACTTCCTCATCCCCGGAGGCCTGCCTGTTGAATGCGCTTGTGGTGTCCAATTTCAGCACAGCCGTCGCGTGGAACGTGGATGCGGGCGGAACAATGCCCTGCAGGTGCAACGGGCGAGAGCAAAACCGACCACAACGCCGTGTGCGTTGGATGTTTGCAAGCGTGAGCAGGCGTGGTGACGACCTTTCGAGCGTTTGCGGCAGCACCACACTTGCAACGCAACCAACGCCCACGAGACACGTCACACGACAGCACTTGGGACCTGCTCTGCTCCTTGCGTGGAATGTCAATCAGATGAGCAAACAAACAAGCAAGTCCAAGCAACCAACAACCAACAAGCTACCAGCAACCACCGAGCAAATGCTGCGATCTTCCTGCCTTGTCGCACGACCCACAGACCTACCGAGGCTGGAACGGCGCGAAACACATTGTTGATGTTGCCCACACTCAACTCTTGCTGTGCACTGGCAGGAGAACAGCAGCAGGAGCACAGCACCAGCACCAGCAGCACACGCACTGCGAAGGTGGGTGTCAGCACACCAGGAGGAGCCAAGCCACGATGCATCCTTCGCTTGTTTGGCTTGTTTGGCTTGTTTGGCTTGGAGGACAGCGGCGAACTTATGTGCTGTCGGAAACGGACATGACTCATGGACCCCGTGATGACTCACATCCACATCATGCCATCTCAAACGCCCATAGGCCAATTCTACTGTGGATTTGATATTCTGGCGCTAGGATTCCAATCGAAGAACCAAGACCAAAAGACCAAAAGCAAAGTCTACGACTGCGCCCTCGCTGCCGCTGGTTCGTTCCGCTTTCATTCCCACAGCCATTTTCCGTTTCAGCGGGTTTTAAAAAATATTACCGGTGACCATTGCTAAACTACGGTTGCGAAGTGAGCATTGCCGGTTCGTGACCACGCGCAAAAGCTCGAGGCGCGTCCACTAACCCTCAAATCGCATGCTGTGAAGCCCTACCCCCGCTAACCGCTACGCTCGCTCCCGCATCGCTGCGCTACCCGAACCAGATTTGTCGCACAGGGTTTTCCCTAACCGGCGGCTGCGCCGCCTTTGCGCTGCCTTGACACATGCAAATTCCGAAACGGTAGAAACAAAAAACATTGAGAATTTAGCGAGCGCCTGCGGTAAAGTTGCAATAATCCCCCGTTTCAGCACCAACAACCCCAGAACCCCAGATATCCAGCAGCGCACTTCGTATGGGCACAAGCCCCTCACCATCCCACCAGCATCCTCTTGCATGCACCAAAACAAGCCATGAAACACGGCCAGCCATTACAGCTGCTACAGCTCAGGCCCCTCAGGCGGCTTCTCTGCCTGTTTCTCCTGTTTCTCGCCTTGGCCAGCCTCAGCCTCGGCAGCCAGAGCATCAACAGCGAAAGTAACGAAACACACACGCTCACGCTCACGTCGTCCCCTCACGCCAATGCCTCGAGTGCGTTCAAGCGAGGTAACGCCGCTCCCATCACTGCTCCCGAGGACAAAGAGCGCAGCAAGACCTTCGCCCCTGTCCACCAACGGTTGCAAAACGCGCATGGTGCAGCAACTCCTTCTCAGCCACATCCACCATTTCCCTTTGTCTCTTCTGCGCCAGTTTCCAGTCTTGACCGTTGCCGACAGGCACAGGCGGAGGTGGCCCGTCTGCATCAGCTGCTGCACAGGCTGCAAGAACATGAACTGTGGCTGATGCAACAAGAGCCGACTGAGCAGGAGCGTGGTCATATGACCAACACACGAGACAAGAACTTTGTCACGACTCACCGCGAGACAAATACGACTTCAAAACGCCACTCACAGCACACAACACACATACCCACGCCCTCTACGCCCTGGTTCGATGATGACACCACCCTCAAGCGCTTGGGGTTTTCTGCCCTCGACGACATACTTGCTGCCGCGTGCCCCGACCTCTTTGCCTCTCCGTCAGCCAACGACTCCGGCAACGACGGCAACGACAGCGGTTTGCGATCCCGCCAACGAGCACGAATGTCAACACCACGATCTGACGGCAGCAATGTTAGTGTTAACGACAGCAGCCACGTTACGCTAGCATCCACGCATGCGCACAAGAGCGAGATGCCTGTGCCCTCTGACCTATCAAGGATGTCAAGGCCCAGACGCGACAGTGGAAACACGCTTGGTACTGATGATATAGTCATCGATGAGGTGCCTTGTCGGCTGTCAACTCTCATCACCGAGGGTACTTGCCCACGACCAGTCCACACCCTCCCTCCTGGCTCACCCCTCTCGCTCCTCGTCGACGTGAACATGTTTGTGGACATGACAAACGCCACGCGGGCAAGCGCAGCTGCTGAACTTTTGCAGCTCTCGCTCACGGTGCGACCACGCACCTTCACCGTGCACGGCGCCAACTTCACCTTGGGCACCTTGTCCTGGGTATTGGAGAACGCCAACTGGGAGAGCGTCAGCACCATAAACGTTCGCGGTGTAGTCACCAACCATCTGCACCTCAGCATCTTCAACCCACTCAGCAATGTGACCACCATCGCTTTCGCCAACAGCACGATCGTCCACCTCTCGCAACGCGGTCCCAACGGCAACACGCACCCGCCCTTGGCTCGCGCCGCCCAGCTGACCCACCTCTTCCTCAACAACAGTCACATTGAGATTGTGGACCAAGGCACCTTCGCCGGCCTGCAGGCGTTGGAGGTTCTCTCGTTTCACAGTAACCAGCTGACACGTGTGGACAGCAGCCTGTTTGGGCATCTCCCCAGCATCCGCACCCTCGATCTTGCTTTCAACAGCATCACCACCATCGCACCCAGGTCATTCAGCGCCCTGACCACGCTTGAATTCCTGCGACTGCAGGGCAATGACGTGGAACAGCTGCCCGATGACATGTTCGTGGGCCTCTCACGCCTGCGGCAGCTGGACATTGGGGGCCTGCCACTCAAAGAACTTCACCCGCACATCTTGGCGCCTTTACGGCAGCTGCGTTCCATCCGCATGCGTTTCCTGCAAGTCACCGCTCTCCCCGCCACCCTCTTCTCCAACAACCGCTTGCTTGAGACTGTCAACATGGAGCGCGGCCGCGTCCACACCATCCCCGCCAACACATTCGCAGGCCTCAACTACCTCGACTTTCTTGAGCTGTCGCAGAATAACATCCCCTTCCTTGACGCGGCCTGGTTTGGTGCCGGCGCCCCCAACCTGACGAGACTCTGGCTTGTGCAGAATGAGCTGACCGGCATCTCCCCTGAACTCCCAACACTGCTGCCGCGCCTCGACCATCTGAGCCTACAGCAGAACATGCTCACCAGCATCCCTGCCCAGGTGCTACGCGACCACGACAGCCTCCGCATCATCGACATCAGCAACAACAGGCTGCGCTCCCTTCCCGCCGGCAGTTTTGAGCGGCTGCCGCTGTTGAAGCACATCAGCCTCGCCAGCAACAGGTTAACCACCCTGCCGCCGTTCCCGCTCCTCCCCGGCCTTCAATCCATCCGCCTTAACGACAACCGGCTCAGAGAACTGCCCGACCTGCTGCAGTTCCCATCACTGAGGGAGCTCTACTTCAACAACCACCGTGTGTCACACCTCAACCTCAATGCCGTCGTGGACCTGACGGAGCTGTGGCGCCTGGAGGTTGCCGCCCACCCAGACATGCCGCCAGCCACGATCAAGGTCGCGCCAACTGTCGGCAACAAGTTGGCAACGCCGCTGCGCGTGCTGGATGTGCGCAACGTGGACGTGCGTGAGGTTGCGCCCCTCTTCTTCGAAAATTCGCGCGTGCACGTGAAGGCGCTGTACGCTGGCTGGCCGGGCATGGACGAGACGACCGTGCGAACCGAGGACATTTGCCGCTTTCTGCGACCGCTTGACACCACATTGCAGCTGACCAACACTGGGTACAAGCATCTCAACATGTGCCCCGATCACGTGTTTGACGTGCTGCTGCTGCAGAACAACCCGAAGCTGGAGAGCCTGCGTGTGGCATCGCCCGTGTCGCAGTTCAACGTGTCAGGCTGTACCAATCTGCACGAGCTGGCGCTGCCAACCGCGGACATTCTCGACATCAGCGGCACGCGCGTGCCCCCCCCCCGTGCGCTCGCTGTGTTCCCAGTGGGGCAGCGAGGTGGTGGTGGCGAGGAACTGGAAAAGTGACGCGCTCATGGAATCGCGCGAGCGTGTGCGTTCGATGTTGGAACGGTGCTTTGTGTTCAGCAACGTGCTGCTGCTTGATCTCAGCGACAACTCATGGCTCGACAAGCCCGAGCTGGTGAAGGACGCCACCCTCGACTTTACCGTCCTCTCGAGCAACGAAGTGCTGACGCGGCAGTTTGTGTCGCTGGACAGCAGGATCAACATACCGATTGTGGAGTTGACGGGCACCCCCATCTCATGCCAGCTCGAGCTCACGCATTTGAAAACGCGTTTGACCTCCAATCTCTTGCAGCAGGAATATCGATTGGCGTACTACCACGCCTGCGACTGTGCACGCGGGTATGCCCGCAGCGGCGGCCGTTGCAAGCCCGTGACGCGCGACATCACAGCAGCGGTGCTGGGCACGCTGGCGGGCGTGTTGGCGTTCCAGGGCCTCTTGTTTGCTGTGTACTGGACGTACAAGCGGCAGCGACGCCTGCAGACGGACAACGCGCTGAAGGAGCAATTGCTGGCGGAGCGAGACGAGGAGGTGATGGCGCTGAAGAAGGCGTGGGAGATTGAGTATGATGAGCTGAGAATGATCAAGCGTGTGGCTGCAGGCGCGTGTGGTGTGGTGTTCAAGGCACAGTGGGACACGGTTTCGGTGGCGGTGAAGGTGCTGCAGCAAGGGGTGATGATGTTTGACGAGAGCACGGTGGTTGAGTTTGAGAAGGAGGTGGAGTTCTTGCAGCGTACAAGGCACCCGCATGTGGTGCGGTTCTTTGGTGCGGGTACAGACCCCCACGGCAGCCCGTTCCTGGTGCTGGAGTTTGTGGCGATGGGATCGCTCAAGGACCTGCTGAGGAGGGATCTAGAGGACGTGTTGGTGAAGGAGGAGAACGGTTTCAAGCAAGACGATGCAGATCAGAGTGTGACTGCATCTGATGTCTCGGAGGAGCTGACGCTCGTGAGTACAGCCGTGTCACCTGAGGACAAGGATGTTTGGGGCCTGAAGTTGCACCTACTGTGTGATGTCACCAGCGGCATGGCCTTTATTCACAGCCTCGGCCAGATGCACCGGTGGGAATTTGTGTGTGTGTGTGTGTGTGTGTGTGTGTGTGTGTGTGTGCGTGTGTGTGTGTGTGTGTGTGTGTGTGTGTGCGTGCGTGTGTGTGTGCGTGTGTGTGCGTGGTCTGTCAGCATGTGCGTCTGTAACCGCCCGCCTTCTCCTTCTACTCACCCGCCACCATCCCACCTCCAAAATTAACACCAACAGCGATCTGAAGAGCGGCAACGTACTCGTGTCATCATCGCTTCGCGCCAAAATTACGGATTTTGGATCCATCCGCCAGTGCTTGACGCGTGATAGGAACCAACAACAGCAACAGGGCACGCGCCTCTCTTCCACTTCCAGTCGCCATGACGATCCCCAGTACAGCCCGCGCACTGGACTGCAAACGATGACGAGTGTGTCGCTAACAGCTGGTGTGGGCACGCCGCTGTACATGGCACCAGAGGCACTGACAGGCGACAAGTACAGCTTTGAAGCAGACGTGTTCAGCTTTGGCGTGCTGATGTGGGAGGTGGCCACACAGCGCGTGCCTGACCTGATTGAGCAAGAGCTTGGGGCAGAGTATACTGGGCCGATCCTCGCCACACTCAGCGGCTTGATGGCGGACGGGAAGCGTCTCAAGTTTGAAGATGGCGGAGACGAAGGTGGTGAGTTGTGTGTATGTGTGTGTTAGTGTTTGTTTGCTTGTTTGGTTTCGTGTGAGTGTGTTTTTGTGCTGTGTGCTGTGTGCTATGTGCTGTAGTTGTGCTGTGTGTTGTGTGTTGTGTGTTTGTGTGTGTGTGTTGCGCGCGTGTGTGTGCGTCGATGTCTCTGCGTCGATGTCTTCGTGTGTCTTTGTGTTTCATTCAGACATGATTCCCTTCTCACACTTTCTACGTGCATACCATGTTACCCCATGTTGCATGCATGCAGCAGCCGTTCCCGAGTGGTTCAAGGCATTGGCATACAAGTGCATGACCCAACAACCGGCCCAGCGGCCATCCTTCAGCGACCTGGAGCAGAAGCTGCAACTCTGAACGCTTGTGTGCGTTTGTGTGTTTGTGTGTTTGTGCGTTTGTGTGTTTGTGTGTGTGTGTGTGTGTGTGTGTGTGTGTGTGTGTGTGTGTGTTGAAGATGGGGCAGTCGTTGCCGCGTGTTCAGCGATGTGTGTACGTGTGCACGCTGGCAGCTTGTTTCGTCATTCCAGTCCTGCTTGATGCTGCGAGCTTCGCTTACTCCCTCAATACACACCTCACCCCACTTCACTGTCGCTGACCCTTCTGCTTTCGCATCACCGCCATGTTTATGCCTACTTGCCTGCTCGCATTGCTTGCATGCACGCAGATCTCAAGGAAATGCCTCGCGGGTGCTCCCAAAACTACCAGTGCACGGATGAAAACTTCCACCAAGACTCTGGTGAGTTGCACAACCAGCAGTGTACATAAAGAGCCACTTCTCACCTTCACACACACACACACACACGTGTCGCGCACGCTTGTGGTTGTTGGAATGTGCTGTTGCTCTTGTGTCTGCGCGCACTTGCAAAAAAGTGCAAGTGTCCTTGAGGACGTCCCACCACTTTTAATTGTACAATGTCCAGAAATGGGTTATTATCTCTCTCACCATTCACTCACTTCGCTTTCACCATTCATAACCAGTCGCTCAAAATAAACTAATGCGAAATGGGCGGTCAACAGGGCACCGCGCCTCTCTCCACTTCCAGTCGCCATGACGATCCCCAGTACAGCCCGCGCACTGGACTGCAAACGATGACGAGTGTGTCGCTAACAGCTGGTGTGGGCACGCCGCTGTACATGGCACCAGAGGCACTGACAGGCGACAAGTACAGCTTTGAAGCAGACGTGTTCAGCTTTGGCGTGCTGATGTGGGAGGTGGCCACACAGCGCGTGCCTGACCTGATTGAGCAAGAGCTTGGGGCAGAGTATACTGGGCCGATCCTCGCCACACTCAGCGGCTTGATGGCGGACGGGAAGCGTCTCAAGTTTGAAGATGGCGGAGACGAAGGTGGTGAGTTGTGTGTATGTGTGTGTTAGTGTTTGTTTGCTTGTTTGGTTTCGTGTGAGTGTGTTTTTGTGC